TATATATATATATATATATATATATATATATTATATATATATATATATATATATATGTATATATATATATATGTATGTGTGTATGTATGTATGTATGTATAGAGAGAGAGAGATACCTAGAGACAGTGAACGAGGAAATGTGGAAAATTAATTAAGCAGATGATGAAAATAATGATAATATTAATGGTATCAATGAAAATAATAATGATAGTAATAATAATGATAATAATAACAATAATAATTGTAATAACAATAATAATGATAACGATAATAATAATAATAATAATGATAATAATAATAATAATAATAATAATAATAATAATAATAATAATAATGATAATAATAATAATAATGATAAGAAGAAGAAGAAGAAGGAAGAAGAGGAGGAGAATGACAATAATAATTAACTAGGAAAGAAAAAAAAAACTTTTTCAAGAATTCTAGCCAATGCACAGCTAACGAAATTTGAACAATTATTATAATAGCCCCAGCAACCTTCTTAATTTAATGATCATAATTTTATAATTTCTCGTTTCAGATCGAGCCACACGGACGACGGGAATCAAGGGAAATTGAGTCACCATGCCAGGAGCGTCTGCTGAAGGGAAAGCATCTAAGGACATTTGCTCAGTCAAGAAAAATGCAAGAAAAGAAGCGAGAAAATGCTGAGTCTCTCGTCGGCTTAATGACTTTGGCTGACTGAATTACAAATGTGTTTATTTCAGTTCGAGTTGTTTGTTGCTTGCCATTGATTTTCCGCTGGTCGAATTCGCGATCAGTGCCTGGGGAGAAGGGGAGGAAAAGGTGGACACCGAGGAAGATTGAGACGTAAGAAAGGGATAATAGATAGCTGAAAGGCGAAGGATTAGGACGAAGGCCAGAAATAAAGAAGAAGAAAAAAGATGGCACTGTCTAATACCTGACAAGAGCGAAGAAAAAGATAAACTAATTGATATCAAATAATTAATCAAAACCAATTCTAAGAATTAAAACAATATAAGTAAATAAAAAAAAAAAAAAAAAAACAGAGGCAAAGAAAAATGTCTTCACGTCTCGTCCCCCAGTGACTCGAACTTTCTTAGGCAGCTTCGAGAAGATTCTCCTGTAGCGACAACTCCCGTCCCCCCTCCCCCCTCCCCTTTTTTACCCTCCCCCCCGTCGCTCTCCGCTATGGTCCTGGAGAAAACGAAGTTCGTTGGGCTCCTCTTCCTTTTCCTCTTCTGTGTCTTCACCTCCGTCTTCGCAGGTAGGTTTGCTCTTGCTCTTCTTGCGTGAACAGGTTCCATAACGACTTTTCCCTTGTCATTGTTGTTACAAATACTATTACTTTTTGTTTACGAATCTTCATAGAAAATGGGCGTATTAGTTTCGTGGTAGACTGATGTGTTTGGAAATGTTATTTTCGTGATACAGTTAAGTATTTCCAAACTGGCTTTTCATTCATTACTCTCTCTGTCTGTCTGTCTGTCTCTCTCTCTCTCTCTCTCTCTCTCTCTCTCTCTCTCTCTCTCTCTCTCTCTCTCTCTCTCTCTCTCTCTCTCTCTCTCTCTCTCTCTCTCTCTCTCTCTCTCTCTCTCTCTCTCTCTCTCTCTTTCTCATCACATTTCTGTAGAGAGCCGTTTAACTTTAACAGTTCTTTGAGCACCCGTTTGACTATATGGAACCTCTGAATCATAAGATACAGTAAGGATACTTTGGTTCACTTTTCTGTACCAATAAGTACGAATTCTTGCATTTAACTAAAACAAGGTTTTTTAGCCGCGTTCCCTTTTATGGAATAACGCATTGTTAAAGGAAACCGGTTCTGTTTGTGTGAAATTGTGAAGGGTGTATCCAATGCATAAGGAAAGTTTTAACCACTTTTTTTTCTCTCTCGCTCTATCTATCTATCCATCTATCTATTTATCTTTCTATCTATCTATCTATCTATTTATCTCACTATCTATCTATCATCTATCTATGTATGTATGTATATATATATATACACGTATATATATATATATATATATATATATATATATATATATATATATATATATATATATATATATATGTATATATATATATATATATATATATATATATATATATATATATATATATATGTATATATATATATGTATATATATATATATATATATATATATATATATATATATATATATATATATATATATCTCACTATCTATCTATCATCTATGTATGTATGTATGTATATATATATATATACATGTATATATATATATATATATATATATATATATATATATATATATATATATATATATATATATATATATGTATATATATATATATATATATATATATATATATATATATATATATATGTATATATATATATGTATATATATATATATATATATATATATATATATATATCACTATCTATCTATCATCTATCTATGTATGTATGTATATATATATATACACGTATATATATATATATATATATATATATATATATATATATATATATATA